GGAGCCCTGCAGAGAGCCAGGAGTTCCAGCTTCATGAGTTCTTACTCATGCTAGGGTGGTTTTTTGGCAATATACCTGCCTTCCAGTGGCTCTGGCTCCCGTATCAACCCCTCACCCATAACTAGTACTAATGAACTCATGATTTACCAATTGGACTTTGGTTTGTGTTTGGCTCCCTATTGTTGCTTTTTCATCAGCACAAGGCCTTCACTTTGCTGCTGTTTTATTCAGGATTGTGGCTCCACAGTTACTGGCCTGCTTCTCTGGCCATTTAGGCCGTGGCCTGGTGGGAATTCTGTTCCTGCAGGCACCAGCTCTATCGCTGCCACCAAATAGAGCTTTTAATTAAATCTGTATTGTTCTACTTATCAGTAAGACTCAGGAGTCAGAGGCTGGGGTGAAAGCCTACTAGCTCAGAAAGATGGAGTAGCAGCTAGTTGACCTTCTCTCTTTGCTGGTGTCTCAGAAAGGGACTCTCCTTCTGCTCTGCTAAAACAAAAATCATGCCACTCACAGCCCCTTCCTACTACTTCCTGTCTGTCTTTATCATCTTCCAGACATCTTCGGACTCTCTATGGTTACTTTCTGTCAACTAGTTGCTAATTCAGCCTCCTGGCCGAAGGTTGATTCTATTTAATTAACAGAAATGCGTACTTGGGGTTCACTCTTTGGTTGACTGTCGCACAGCACCCTATCTTAGGTATATAGATGTTTGTTCACATCTCACATAACACACTCGACACCCAAGAAGGGACCAATAGAACAAAAGATGAGTTGTATAGGATTGGTTGCATGGCCCCCCATGCTGAGACATGCAACTGAGTCTGATCCCTGAGGGTAAAATACCCATGGGAGAAATTCCAAGGGTTTCTCATGAGGTCACGTGCCTCCTTACTGTAGTAGTGGTCGGGCCTCATGAGATAGATGACAAAACATGTGACCACTGGGCTGCCTGGAAGTGAAGCGTCTTTGAGGGGAATTCCAGGATGGCCATCTCCCTGTACTTGGCGGGGTGGCATGTCTTCTTGGTGAATGGGCTCCAACTCCTGAGTATGGGAATGCTCCCTAGACAGCTAGTGGACCAAAGAGTGTTTACCAGTCCCTGAAAGTGGAATGTATGAGTTGGTGTCTTAAGCAGGCTATGGCTTCAGCCATGTAGCCTTTGCTTTGGGCAACATGGCATACATATGAGGGCTTAGCTTTCTTCAGAAAGAACTTGTGAGAGTATGGGAGGAATTATGATTTAAAAAAAAAAACAAGCAAGCAAACCCTGAAATGTTTTGTTTCTAGCCTCTATACCAGTCACTAATCTGGAAAAGAAAGTTAAAAAAAAAAAAGAGGAGAAATGAAGTGTCATTGGTGTGTTGTTTCTCACATTTGGCAAGATTCAAGTGAGAGAGAGTGCAAGCTGGATGTGTGCTAAAGAGTCCTTCCTGGGATTCCAAAAGTTGGCACCCCAGAGAGAGATCAAGGTAAAGGAGATAGACAATAGCCCTCAGGTCCAGTCTTTAATAAGAGAAAGAGAAAATCCATGACTGATCATGTAAATAGGAACCTTAGGAACAGCTTAATCCAGGGGACCATGCAAGGGAGTATTCTGTCTCTCAACTGTGTGACATAGAAAAAACTTTGTTTGATTGTTTTCGAGATAGGCTCTCACTATGTAACTTTGGATATCCTGGAACTCACTGTATAGACCAGGCTGGCCTTGAACTCACAGAGATCCATCTCCCTCTGCCTCCCCAGTGCTGGGATTAAAGGCAGTGCCAACACACCCACATGTGGAAAGAACTTTTAAACAAGCAGTGAAAGCCTGTCAGTCTTTGTCTTACAGCTGCATGTGCTTGAATGGGATTAATCTGAGTGCTGTAGAGGCAGAAAAACTAAATAATAGAACCATCCATCCTTTTTTTTTTTCCAGACAAAAGCTATATAACCTGAGGCAATATGAGAAGAGTCAGTTCCTGGTGAACAGGCTCATTACAAACTGTTGGGAACCCTTGGTTATTTCCTGCTTAGATCCACAGTGAAGGTCAAGAAGCAGAGGACATGGGAAGGACATGCAGTACTGGGGAAGTGAGAATGAGAAAAGGGGTATTGATGTCCACAGAAAAAGTTAAGAAAGTCGATTTAGTGGCTTTGCTGAATCCTATGGTAGCATAGGCTTTGGCAGCCCTGAGTGATCTAGCCTGGCTTCTAAATCATGTTCATAAAATGCTAAAGCACTCAGGAGGAGATGAAAGAGCGAGAAAGCCAACAATGGGTTCTGTTCCAGTTAGCTGAAAACGGGTACTGCAGTCCTGTGTCCAGCCGGAGTTCCTCTGCCGGAAAACTCACGACGCCAAATGCTGTACTTGTGAGTTTTTGGAAGTGATTAATATTACTTGCTATACTTTCAGAAGATCTGGGTTTGGGTTCCAACACCCACATGGTAGCTCACAGCCATTTGTAACTCCAGGAGGACCAATGCCCTTTCATAACCTCTGTGGGTAACAGACAAATGTGGTGCACATACATTTGTACAGGCAAAACACTCATACACATAAGATAAATAAATAGGTAGAGAGATAGATTGTAGTTAGGATTTTCTTTGGGCCATAACTAGTTCCCCAATAAAGACATGAAGATTTATTGTAATTTTGAATGCTCAACCTTAGCTTAGGCTTGTCCTGTTACTTTTTTATTTTTAATTTAATTTAACCTGTTTCTGTTCATCTACATTTTCCTCAGGACTTTTTACCTTCCTTTCATTCTGTATATCCTACTTTCCTGCTTCTTCCATGTCTGTCTGTCTGGCCCCTGGCATCTTCCTGGCATCTCTCTTTCTTTTCCCCGTCAGCCTAAACTCCTCTTTCTACTTAATTCTCAATGCCCAGAAGTCCCACCTGTACCTTTTCCCTCATTATTGGCTGTTCAGCTTGTCTTAGTCAGGCAAGGTAAAAGAGCAACACATTTTCACATAATTAAACAAATTCAGCACATCTTTGCATAGTTAAACAAGTATTCTACAGTGATAAATAAATAATTTAAATTAATTAATTAATTAAATAGAGAAAGAAGATGATGGAGGGCTAGTAAGATGGCTCTTGATACCAGGCCTAACAACCTGAGATAGGTTACTGGAACCCCATGGTGGAAAGAGAACCAACTCCCTGAAGTGGATACACATACATATATATGTACGTACGTACGTACGTACATACACACACACACACACACACAGAACAGAGAGTTCTCTCTCTCTCTCTCTCTCTCTCAAATAGATAAATAACTAATTAAAAAAACCCAAAAACATAAACTTCAACAAGACAAGAAAAAAAGTAGCAAAATGAATCAGGATAGGGCCACTGTGTAGCACAGACTGGCCTCCAGCTTGTGGTCTTCCTCTCCAGTGCTGGAATTACAAGGGTATTCTGTCCATGCTCACTTCCCACCACTGTGGTGTTTAATTGAAGACGCTGGGTAGCATTGCTTGTTGTTTCTTCTTCCAGGAGCTTTGTTTAAATGTACGGTTCCTTTGGGAGTGGGAGAGGTGGCTCAGTGGTTCAGAGCTCTTGCCGCCCTTGCAGAGGAGATTCTCTAGTGGAACTGGCTGAGCCTGGATATTTCTTAAGGTTTTAAGTATGAATTTAGTTTTGTTAGAGGTTAAATGATGTCTATCCTTTTAAGCACTCTATGAATGATTGAGAGCTTGTAGATTCTGTTGCAGTTTGGGTGGCGTGTTCACAAATTTCGGTTATCCGTATTGCTCCGCAATGTTCAGTTCGGTTTCCCTGCTGACTTCTGCTGGCTGTTCCACCCACTGAGGAATGGTGGCACTCCACTAGAGCTGTGGGTTTGTTCTTTCTTGTTTCAGTTCTCTCAGGTTTGCTTTATTTGTTTTGAAATCCCACTTTTCATACATACACATTTAGAATTGCTTTATCATCTTGGTGGATTGTACTTTGTCATGGTTTATGTCATTTTTGTCTCTAGGATACTTTGTCAAAATATTAATTGGACAACAGAATAATCTATTAAGCATGTCTTTATGTAAGTTTGAACATATAATCAATGTGTTTTTATTTTAGGCTACACACACACACACACACACACACACACACCCCAACACCAACTTTTGTTCCTTTCTAAAAAGCATTTCTAGGGGGCTGGAGAGATGGCTCAGAGGTTAAGAGCATTGCCTGCTCTTCCAAAGGTCCTGAGTTCAATTCCCAGCAACTACATAGTGGCTTACAATCATCTGTAATGGGGTCTGGTGCCCTCTTCTGACCTGTAGCATACACACAGACAGAATATTGTATACATAGTAAATAAATAAATATTTAAAAATAAAAAAATAAATAAAAAGCATTTCTAAAGAAGTATTTCAGACAGCCACACCAGCATGGAACTGGCAGGATATGAATTAGTTTTGACAGTCTAGAAATTAATATTCTAGACTTTAGAATATTAAAGTCTAAATTAGAAAAAATATTCTAATTTTTTTAGTGTAAAAGATGAAATAATTTATATTTGAATGATTTTATGATTTATTTTTTAAATGCAACCTAGTGTAGATGTAAAAATTAGTGGCAGAAACTGGAGAGATGTCTCATTGGATAAGAGCATTTGTTGGTCTTGCAGAGGACTGGAATTTGGTTCCTAGCACCAATGTCGGGTGACTCATAATTGCCTGTAACTCCAGTTCCAGGGGTCCAACATCTTTTTCTAGCCTCCACAGGCACCTGCATACACACAGAACACAAACACACACAGACACAAATAAATGTTTAAAATGCAGTGACAGGGCTTATATATTTACTACTTAATTTTGATAATTTTAATTTTTAAATGGAAGAAAGTAAAACCTTTATTTTATGATTTTTAAATTAAACCCCAAATTAAGAAAGTCATTTGTTTATCAGTTGCAATACACCATAAAAATGCCATTTAAAATTCTTCAATTGTGTTCTAGCAAGAAATTACATGCTTTTTCTCTGGATACTTAACTTTGCTCTCAGGTAACTCAGGGCATCAGCTCACTAGGAATCTACAGATTAAGCCACGGGAATTCAATGAACACAAGACCATATGCTTTAGATCCTACAACATGACTTTTTCCTGTCTGACCAGAATGAAAGCTTACAGGTGAGTTTGTTATTCTGGTAGGGATTTACATAACTGTGTGTAATAGTAGTTTAGTTTTGATTGTGTATAGTAAACTTGACCGGTATGTAAAAGCTCATCTGGTTTAGTTAAAGTGGCCTTTATTTAAATATTCTTAAATAATGTGTTGTAATAATTTTTAGGTTTAGAAGACTTCAAGTTCACTGAAAAGCTGTAAGAAAATATAGTATATAGCCATGTGTGCTCTTTATTCAAATTCAGAGACAATTTTCATTTTTAGTAGATTAGACACTTCTCTTTCCAGTTCATCAGCCCACTTCTACCTTGGAGAGTGCCTTTTTTCCTTCTTAGTAAACCCTCATTTCTATCATAAAAGAAGAGAAGAGAAGAGAGAAGGCTGCATTAAGGACATGGAGATGTTTTCCTTCTCTGTAGTCCCCTTGAGATGGAACAAAAACATAAACACGCTAAGGCAGAGAAGTCTGTAATGCTAGGTAGTAAGAGTAAGTCAGCAAATTGTGTGTTTAGATTTTACAACTTCGTTTCTAATCTTGTGAAAAATACCTCCCTGGAATAGTTAAAACTGAGTCTACTTCCTGAGTGCACGGCCTTACGTCTTATAAGTGAGCTTAGTTGAGACCGGGTGTAGGTGAAACTCTTCTCTGTCAACGGAGCAAATACTTCCTGTGTGTTACCTTTGGTGTGCTAGTCCTGGTTACTGAAGGTTTGACTTACTCTCGCCCAAGGAAACAGGAAACTCATATTTCTAAGAAAACATGAGAGAAAAGTGATAACTTTGAGGAATCATTTCTCTTCAACCATGTGGGTTCCAAGGATCAAAGGCTGCTAGTCAGGCTTATTAGCAAGCGCTTTAACACAGTGACCCATCTCACTGACGCGTGGTACTTGAATTTAAATACTATAAAAAGAATTCTACCTACAGAATGTACTCTCTAAATGTAGCCAAGAAAAATAATAAAACAATAAAAAATCGAGTGGCATTATTTTTTTCTGCTTTAACAGCCCAATTACCTTTGGCCAAGCAGAACTTTGGAGTATTTCTCTGCACTGTACTGACACGCAGTTCAGTGTTGTGTCTAATTTTTCCCCTTCTCTTGCGATTAAAAGAGTGAGGACAAGTTCTATACTTTTTCTGATGTCGTCTCTTCAAATATCTCTTTGACAATTATCTCTCGAGAAACTGCTGTGTCCTAGGAGCTGTTCTAGTCCCTAGGAATAAAATGATTTGCCGCTGTCCATGCCTTTCCTTCACAGTAGGTAGTCTGTGAGTAACAGACGTGACCAGAAGATATGCAACCCGTGAAGAAATACTGTGGCATAGGAGTTAAAATGGGGGATGTAACCCATGTGTGAATACCAAGGACGATTTTGTAGTAACATTTTATTTAAATTAAGATTTGAGGTGCGAGACGTAAGTGCTGAGTAGAGAAAAGGAAGGGCTGTAGGGAAAATGATCTATACAGAAGAAACAATCTCCACAAGGTCTGTGAGGTAAGAGCAAGCATGGCCCATTCAAAGGCTGCATGGCTGATGGGAGGAGATGAGGAGGAAATGAGCTTAGAGCGGAAGGGAGCCGGGGACTCCTTCATTCTGAGCTTTCTTTCACCCCACTTTCTTTTCTCTAATGACACTGGAAACCTTGAGAGCATTTTATGTGAGAAAAAAATTAGATTTTTATTTCAGAATAATCTCTCTGTAGTTCATCTGGGAAAACTAGAAGGTGATGTATGGAGTCAGCAGACTATAGAAGAGTAAGACGGTGGTCAGGAGATGGTGGAGATTAGACTTCCATGACAACTGTGGAAATGGACAGAGGGGGCGTATGGTAGCATCACTGTGTTCAAGTCGGGCCTCAACCACTCACTTGACTTCTCTGAACTTTTCTTTTCCCAACCATAAAATAAGGATAACAGTACAGTTGTCCAAAAATAACATGTGTCTTAGATAGTACCTGACATTTAGTGGATACTCAATAAGTGATAGCTATTATTGTTGTTATCATTTTTTGCATTAGATGTGACCTAGAAGAACAGGCTTTGTCCTCAAAAGCTTGTGAATTTATGAGCACATGATTGTGATCTTAAATATGGATCAAAATTGAGATATATATATATATATATATAATCTAATAAATTAGAATATCTTTTCTGTACGGTATATTCTGTTTAACATTTTTTTTTTTTAGAACAACAGTATCGCCTGGTTCTTTGTTTTCTTCCCTTAGGTCCCCTTGGCAAAACCTATACAGTACTTCACAAACAACAGTTGACAGCAACGAGGTAAAAACCTTCCTGGCCCTGGCTCACAAGTGGTGGGATGAACAAGGAATATTTGCACCTCTTCATTCTATGAATGACCTGAGGGTGCCATTCATTAGGTAATACTCCAGAAATTCCTTTTAAGTCTTTACAAGTTCATAATTCACTATTTTGCATTCATTTCCCCCTTTGCTTTACTTGCGTTCAAAATTCTGCATCTTAGATTTGCTTTGGAAATTAGATCTGTTTCTCACCAGGATCCACCATTTAAAAGCATTAACTTTGGGGGTGGGGAGATGACTCTGCGGTTAAGAATTCACCATGCTGCTCACAGAGGACCAGGGTTTGGTTCCTATCATGCACATCAGGCAGTTTACACCCTTCCAGTTCCAGGAGATCTGACATCCTCACTGGCTTGTGAGGACACACTGGGCTCATGCACATACCCAGACACATTCACACAATTAAAAAAAAAAAGTTGAAATATCTTTTAAACCATTAGCTTACAGAAACGAAACTAAAACCCAGGTTGCTTTTACAACTTAATTATAAACATTTTTGGGCCTATTAGGTGAGTTAGAATTCAATCCTAATGAAAGGGAACCAAAGTGCTACATCATCAGGTCATTTTATAGCTACTGATCTACAGTGGCCTTGATGACCTTTAGGACAACAAGAGTGTTTGAGAGCTCACACTTATGGGGCTCCAGTACCAGACTTTGAAATCTACTTGGATGAACAAAATGTGGACCATGTGTGTTTTTAAAATATTTATTTGTTATGTATACAGTTGTCTGTCTGTGTGTATGTCTGTAGGCCAGAATAGGGCACCAGACCTCATTATAGATGGTTGTGAGCTACCATGTGATTGCCAGGAACTGAACACAGGACCTTTGGAAGAGCAGGCAATGTTCTTAACCACTGAGCCATCTCTCCAGTCCACTATGTGTTTCAACGGGAGATAAAGAAAGGCAAGAACTCAGTGGGCTTGCCATTGATGTCTTATGCTCGGATCACAGATTCCCCCCCACCCCTCCGCCACAACCAACTAGGAGACTGAGTTCTGTATGTAAAAGCAAACAACCTCTATTCTTATATAAGTCTGCAAACTTGGACTCTCCATGTGTCAAACATATTGGAGCGATTGGAGAGCCCCGAGCTCAGTTAGGGTTGGGTTTTATAGTAGCAAAGGTGGGGGTGAGGGATTTCTAAGGTTCAGAATCCCCGATGGGCTGACATTTGTCTAGGAGTGTCCTGGTGAAAACTGATGGGCGTGTGCTGGCAGGTGATCCTATCTACAATGGTTGGAACATTAGGAATTTCCTTTGGATGGTCTGTTCCTAGGTGGTACCTGAATAGTCTCAGTTTGTGGTCTTTCTTGGAATCAGATATTGCCTTAGGGTAAACTACTGAGACACAGGCCTCTATTGAGCTTGCTGTGGCCGGGTCCTCCAGATGCAGTTAGTGTTTCAGCACATCTTCCAGGTGATTCCAGCATTACTAAGTATGAGAACTGTAGTCCAACCACTGTGGCATCTTTATTTATACATATCACATATGTCATCTAGTGTGGTGCAAGCTGTGGTTTATGTTTGCATTTTGTTTTCATCATAGCTAGAAGCCATCAGAAGGAAAGAGTACGGTCTGAGAATTATAGCAGAGTCATAAGGTGGCTGTTTGAAGAATGGGTTGGATTTCATTGGCAATGGATCATTCTGTACAACATTCTGAAGTGATCTACTTTGCCACTGTCTGGATTATTTTAAGAGTTTAGTTACTTTTACTAGCAATATTACATACCCTAAGATGTTCATTATATTTATTTTTATTTTAGTATAAGTATAGTTAAATTATATATCCAATTTAAAACTTAATTTATAATATTATACTACATATCGTGTATCAGATTATGTAGGTACATGTGCATATATGTTATACATATGGTAAAGTATTACAGGTCTGGAAAGATGACTCAACAGTTAGGAACACTGACTGCTCTACCAGAGGTCCTGAGTTCAATTCCCAGCAACCACATGATAGCTCACACCCATCTCTAGTGGGATTTGCTGCCCTCTCCTTGGATAAATGTATACATGCAAATAGAACACTCATATACATAAAATAAACAAATATTTTATGTTTACATAAAGTATTCCAATGATTATACTAGAGTAAGTTTACTTGATTTTGGTATCTGTATACATTGACATACATGAAAAAACCCCATTAATTTAGGAGACTAAAAGAGACATAATAAAGACAGGAATGTAGACCACCTAACTAAATGTGGGACTACATCTGCTTTTCTAAAATTTATTTATTTTTATTGCATATACATTGGTGTTTTGGCTGCAGGTATGTCTGTATGAGGGCATCAGATCCCCTGGAACAGGAGTTACAGACAGTTGTGAGCTGCCTTTTGGATGCTGGGACCTCTGGAAGAGCAGCCAGTGCTCTTAACTGCTGAGCTATCTCTCCAGCCATCTGTCTGCTTTTACTCTGTAAAATAACACATGAAATTGGCCTAGGAGCTTTTGACAACTTAGCCAACAGAGGCTGTAAATTTTCATCTTCATATTTTTGAGATAGTTTTATTGAAAAAGTATTTGAGTAAAATTGTGTTCATTTGCGCTAGATTATTTTGAATTTTTTTCTTTAGATTACTACTGAGCAATAATAGATTAATGTGAGATTATTTCAGAACTTTATTGAAAATGTACAAATTAAGTTGGTCATTTAATTCTGAAAATAAAAGATATGTTTATGAAAATTTCGATGATTCATTTCTAATTAGAATCCCAGACAGGGCATGGCAGCAACACTCCTGTGATCCTACAACTCAGGAGGCTTAGGAAGAAGATTGGGGACTCAAGGCATGTCTGAGCCTTGTAGTGAGCCCTGTCTCCAAGTAAGACAGCTAAACAAATTAAATTAAATAAAGGTTAATATTTCCTTAAAGGTTGTATATTTTAAAACCTTTTGTTGATAAAAGTAACCATTCGTCTTTATATATTTTGAATTTTGCTTTTACAGAGACAATCTTTTGAAAACAAGTGCTAGTCACCAACAAGGGAAACCTTTGTCTGGAATGAAGATTCTTGACGTTGGCTGTGGTGGAGGCTTATTAACTGAAGTAAGTGCCTTGCTGTGTTTTTCTACTCTTAATGGCCTAAGAGTGCTAGTAAAAGTGACTAAATTCTTAAAATTATTCCAGCAGTAATGAAGTAGACCGTGTTGGTATGTTTACAGAAACAACCCATTTCTAAAGATGTCTGATCCATCAAACAGCTTGGGAGTTTTATGCATGCATTTAATATGTTTTGATCAAAATTTTGTTGTTTTTAACTGGGTAAAAAAATTGAGAGGTGGCCTTTTGCTTCATTTATCCCTTTACCAAATATATTGTTTATTTTTTAGTGAATAGTACTAATTTTAATATTATTATGAGTTATAATTTTATTGCAAGTTCTGTTTTCAAAATTGAAAAAAAGAATTTTCAGAAAGCTCCTGAGGTTTTTTTGGGTTTGGTTTTAATAAATGGGCATGGGTCATTCAAAGCTTTGTTTAATCTCTTTTAGCCCAAGACATTAGGCAGCTTCTTCGAGATTAAATGCAGGTTTAATCTCTCCTTTTACACATCTCTAATAAAGCTGGCAGGAGTTTTACTCCTTGTGGGACTCAGTCCTTTGAAGTGTTGTAGGGTACTGGGATGTGTGGTTGTTGTCCCGGGAGGATGTGGTCCAGCTGTGTCTTATAGTCTTCGTCAGCACAGGGGCCTTTCGCGTCATAATTTAATCACTGATGGATGTTTTCCATGATAGTTTTAGTATTTCATCTGCTGCCCTTTGAAACATGGAATAACAGTTTTGAATTTCTAAAGAATTAAATTAATTTAAAAAATTTATGTATGTATTTTGTATTGGCATCATTTCTCTTCCATCTTTCTCCTCCCTCTACCCCTCACCCATGTCTCCCATGTCAAATCTATGGCCTCTTTGAAAAAATTATTATTGTTACTTATAGGTATTAGAATAAATATATGAACACAACCTGCTGATCCTGTTGGTTCTGTTTAGTGTTGTTCACATTTTGTAGGACTGACTACTTGGTATGTAGTAACCCTTTTGGTTAAATTTTTGTTGTTAACATGTGTTCTGTTTTCTTCTTGAGCATAACAATTTTTATGCCTTTAGCCTCTAGGGCGACTGGGGGCTTCAGTTACTGGAATCGATCCTGTGGCTGAAAACATTAAGATAGCGCAGCACCATAAATCCTTTGATCCAGTCCTGGATGAGAGGATTGAGTACAAAGTGTGTTCCCTGGAGGAGATCGTGAATGACACTGCAGAAGTTTTTGATGCTGTTGTGGCTTCTGAAGTTGTAGAACATGTGATCGACCTCGAACTGTTCATACAGTGCTGCTATCAAGTCTTAAAAGTAAGACAGAATTTGCCCCCCCCCCTTTTTTTCTTTTTTCTTTTTTATATAACATTTCTCTGTGTAGCCCTAGCTGTCCTGGAACTTAGTCAATAGATCAGACTGGCCTTGAACTCAGAGATTTGCCTGCCTCTGCCTCCTGGATTCTGGGACTAAAGGCGTACACCACCACTGCCTGAGTCAATTTTCTTGTTTATGTTGAGACTTAGTTTGTGTCCCGATGTGTGGTCAGTTTAGGAGACAGTTCCATGAGGTGCCGAGGAGAGGGTATATACTATTCTGTTCAGGTGAAATGTTCTGTAGCTATCTGTTAGGTCCATTTGGCTTATAATGTCAGTTAACTTCAGCATTCTTCTGTTTAGATTTTGTCTGGATGATCTGCCTATTGGTGAGTGTGGTGTTGAAGTCCCCCACTATCAGTGCATGAGGGCTAATATGTGATTTAAGCTGTAGTTGTGTTTCTTTTATGAATTTGGGTGCCATTGTGTTTGGTGCATAGATATTAAGAATTGCCAAGATCTTTTGGTAGATTTTCCCTTTGATTAGTATGTAGTATACTTTCTTATCTCTTCTGGTTAGTTTTGGTCCAAAGTTTATTTTGTCACATACTTAAAAAATGGCTAAAATAGCTTGCTTTAGGTTCATTTGCTTGAAATATCTTTTTCTATCCTTTTACCTTGAGGTGATGTCTCATCTTGATGTTAAGGTGTGTTTCTTAGCTGCAGCCAAAGGATGGATTTTGTTTTCACATCCATTCTGTTAATCTGTGTCTTTTTATAGGGGAATTGAAACCACTTATATTGAGAGATATCAATGAGCAGTCTTTGTTGATTCCTGTTGTGGTGATGGTGATGATGGTGGCAGTGGTGGTGGTGGTGCTGGTGTGTGTGTGTGTATTATCCTTTTTTTTTTATTTGCTGGTCTAAGGTTTTTTATTCCTTGTGTTTTCTTGGGTGTGACTAACCTCTTTAAGTTGAAGTTGTCCATCTACCACCTTCTATAGGGCTGGATTTGTATATAGATATTGCTAAATTTGATTTTATTATGGAATGTCTTATTTCCTCCATCTATGTTAATTGAAAGTTTTGCTGGGTATAATAGTCTAGGCTAGCATTTGTGGTCTCTTGGAGTCTGTAGCACATCTGTCCAGGCCGCTATGGCTTTTAGAGTCTCCATTGAGAAAGCAGGTGTTATTCTAATAGTCTGCCTTTATATGTTACTTGGTCTTTTCCCCTTGCATCTTTTATTATTCTTTCCTTGTTTGTACATTTAATGTTTTGATTATTATGTACTGAGGGAACTTTCTTTTCTGGTTGAGTCTATTTTGTGTTCTGTATGCTTGTTGTACTTTGATAGGCATCTCCTGCTATGATTTTGTTGAAAATATTTTCTGTGCCTTTGGCCTGTGTTTCTTCACTTTCCTCTATTTCTGTTATCCTTGGATTTGGTCTTTACATAGTGTCCCCAATTTCCTGGATGCTTTTTGTGCCAGGAGATTTTTATATTTAATATTGTCTTTGGTTGAGGTATCCATTTCTTCTATTATGTCTTTAATGTGTGAGATTTTCCTTTCCATCTCTTATTTTGTTGGTGAGGCTTGCCTCTAATGTTCCTGTATGATTTGCTAAATTTATCATTTCCAGATTTCCTTCAGTTTGTGCTTTCTTTATTGACTCTATTTCCACTTTTATGTTTTGGACTGTTTTATTCATTTCCTTCCACTGTTTATGTTTTCATAGATTTCATTAAGGAATTATTAATTTCCTCTTTATAGTCCTCTGCCATACTCATCCAGGCTTTTTAAAGGTCTTTTTCTTGTGCTTCAGTGAGTGACCTTCCAATGCTCATTGCCTTTTGTGTTAGGCTTCCAGGGCTCTAGTAGAGAGATATTGTCCTGGATGTGATTGCTTGTGTTTTCATACCAGCATCTAGGTATATATTATTGGGAAGATTGTAATTCTAGATACTGATATCTAGTCTTGTCTTTGTTGGATGGATGTTTTGTTCCTTGGTTTCTGTTTCATCTCTGGATCTTAGGCAAGTGTAGTGGCTGTGTGTTGCCTGGGTAGGAAATTCTTCTGGGATCCTAGGTGTGGCCACTGGAGATTCCAGGCGAAATGTGTTTCTAGGTCTTAGAAGCTGAAAAATAGAAATGGGGATGGGCTAGGAGTGTGGCGGCAGTGGGGAGATGGGGCCCACCAGCTGGAGGAAAGGAGGGTGTTCCACTAGGATCTGCTTAGTCCTCTGGAGTGGGGTAGAGAGTGAAGAGAGACCACAGCAGGTGTGCTACAGAACTGGGTGTGAGACTGGGGGATAGACCTAGAGGAGAAGGGAGAGGTGAAAATCTGCAGGTAGCTGCCTGCTTTGCCAGCTGAAGTTCCCAGGAAATGCCTACTGGAATTGAGGGTTGGGACAAAGCAGTGAGCTGGAGGGTGAGATTGGGAGGGGAAAATCTGTGTGATCCACTGGGGATGGGGGTAGGAAGGGAAGGGAGATCAAAGCAAGTTGTCTGCTGCAGGGCTGGGAATGAGACTAGAGATTGGATTTGGAAGGACTGAAGGAGAGGTGAAGATGCAGTTGGCCTACCTGTTTTGCTGGCTGCAGCAGAAAGCGTTATAGTAAAATAATTGTAGATTTGCAGAAGAGTTGCAAATACAGAATGGTTTTGCCTTCACCTGTTTTTTCCTGTATATTTCCTGTATATTAACACAGTGGTTCTCAGCCTTCCTAATGCTGCGACCCTTTAATACATTTCCTCATGTTGTGGTGACCTCCAACCATGAAATTATTTTTGTTGCTACTTCATAATTGTAATTTTGCTACTGTTGTGAATTGTAATGTAAATATTTTTGGAGATAGAGGTTTGCCAAAGGGGTTGTGATCTCCATGTTGGAAACCACTGTGTTAGCAGCTCACATATGGGTAGAAAATAAGATGTGTCAAACCAGGTAGTTAGGGCCCCATGTTGAAGGATACACTTCCTCTCAGATGCCCACACATCACTGTATGCCCTGAAAGCACGTGCTGACCTCAATTCTGTGCCTCAGGCTCCTCACTTGTCTCTCCAATGTCCTTTTCCTACACATAACCCCTGGTAAGTATCTACAGACTTAGATATGGACGGTGGCATTGCCTTATTAATGCACAGAGAGCTTGCTAGGCTTGTCAGTTTCTCCACTGATGTTGTTTTACCCATTATGTATCCAGTCTAAGCTTCTGCATTACATTAATTACTGTGTCTCCTTAATCATCTTCCATCTTTGATGTTTTTGTACCTTTGTATGTGTGTGTGTGTACGTGCGCTCAAGCCATAGATAGATTATTGAGGCCAGAGGACAGCTTGAGGGAGTTGATTCTCTCCCATCACATAGATCCCAGGACTGAGTCAAGTCACTGGGCTTGTGTCAGGTTCCTTCACCCTTTGCCCTCTGAGCCATCTCCCTGGTCCAGATATGTAGCCCTGGCTGTCCTGGAGCTCACTCTGTTTACCAGGTTAGCCTCAAACTCACAGATCCACCTGCCTCTGCCTCCCAAGTGCTCGGATTAAAGGGAAGTGTTTCACTCTTAAATGGAATTTTATTACATTCATTTCCTGATTTTCAAGTAAAATCTTTATTTATTAATTGTTGTTTTTGTATCAGTATACATGTCTAAGTGAAGATTCTTTGACACATACAAGGAATGCGGATGTAAACTTTAATCTAATTTGGTTTTTAGTGGAGACCTGTCGGGGTCCGATGCCCCAACATAAAAGTACTTTTTCCTTACTCTGGACCAGTGGGAGGTGCCAGAAATAAAAAGACAGTTTACACAGCAATAACAGAAGAGGGTCTGAAGATCACCTGTGTTTATTATTCAAACACCTTTTATTCCCCCTGGTGAACCAAAGTGGGAGCTCGTTAATATTCTCTTTCCATCACACCTGCAACTCAGTCACCAACTTGGAATCCGCAGCTCTCCCCGGGCGATCTACATAACAACAAAGAGAAGGAGCAGTCTGTCCTGAGCCTTTTGTTAGGTAGCCACAGCTTGTCTGGCAGGATAGCAGCTGCCTTGGAAACCAACCATGGCCCTAGAACTTGGCTGTCATTCCATGTAGAAAAATATGGGCCTTCAAAGACCCTATGTTTAAAGAAAAAGAAACGTTGCAAACCACTATCACCATGAAGTGTGATACTACAGAACACAGATGAGAGACTCATAAATGATTCTTAGTAAGATTTACAGTACTAGAGTTTCCAGAGGAACTACAATGTGTAGTGATGTGCAACCCTAATATTCTGTCCTCTGTCTTAGTTTGAATCAAGGGTGATGTTAAAAATTACCTCTTTTTCCTACTCTATAGGTGCAATATCTATCTATCTATCTATCTATCTATCTATCTATCTATCTATCTATCTATCATCTTTTGATCTATCATCTATCTGTCTGTATATCATCTATTTATCATCTATCTATAAATCTATCATCTAAATCTGTCATATATCATCTATCATCTGTCTAGCATCTATCTATCTGTCTGTCTATCTATCTATCTATCTATCATCTATCTGTTACACTCGATAGAGAAAGAGACCCATAAGGTGATTTTGTAGTGGCATTTTATACTTATTAGGCTAATGAAACTACAAGGAGTACATTTTTTTTGCTATTTTGAAAATAAACATATGAAATAAAAAGATTGTCTTTAAATAGGCAGACTAAATACTCCCATAAATGATTTGCTTTCATCCAAGTGTTTATCTCGATCCCTTTGCAATCGTTACACAAATCAAAACAAAAAATGCTTGAACTTTGATCATTAATGTTTTTGTCAGAGAGCATTTGTTGGTAGTGTTCCTGAGCACACAATGTATAGGGGAATGCTGCTCCAAGCACATTAGGCGCAGCACCTGAGAGAAACATGGAACACCTCTGTATGTTAAGGCGACACCAAGGAATCAAGGCCTTCTAGACACAACAAAGCTGACACACATTTGAACTCACCAATACTATGACAACATGCACAGGGCCTGGGCCTGCATAGGTCTGCACCAGATGCACAGGGTTTGGTCTGCATAGGTCTGCATGAGATGGGCTCCTAAATCTGAAAGACGTCGACAACAGACCCATTCTTCTTGTTCAAATAATTTATTTATTTTTATTTTATGTGCATTGCTGTTTTCCCTACATGTATATTTGTGTGAGGGTATAGGATCACCTGGAATTGTAGTTACTGACAGTTGTGAGCTGCCATGTGGGTAATAGGAATTGAATCTGGGTCCTCGGGAAGAGCAACCAGTGCTCTTAACCATGAAATCATCACTCCATCCCCTCACCCCACCCCCACCACAGTCTTAACCCAGAAGCTATCTCCAATTGATAGCCAATTAGTTTTATCCAAGGGGGTCTCACTGGGGAAACAAATCCTGGTAGACCCCATGTCGAGCAGTAGCTTGTCACAAAACTAACTCAGTGACATCTTTGAAGGTTCTTTGTCCCTTAATATTAAGTCAGTGCATTTTTTCTTAATCTTATAAGTCCTTTACTTTATATATCATGACTTCCAGTTTTGATTTTTTTGTGGGACCCCTGTGAGAGCAAATGTGTGTCTGCATCTGTGTGTGTGTTTCTTGTGCTTTTTGTTTCCTTTGTTTTTTTTTTCTTGTTTGGCTGTTTTGTCATATTCTGATTATTTGTTTTTGGTTTATTTTATTTTATTTATTATTCCTTAGGTACATGTTTGTTTTCTAGCAAGAGACAGAAAGGGTGTGGGTCCGGATGGGAGGGGAGATGGGAGGACATGGGAAGAATAGGAGGAGGGAGAACAGTAATAGGACTATATTGTATGAGAAAAATCTATTTTCAATAAAAGGAAAAAAGAATGTAAATGTATACAGGTATTGACCTTGATAAAGTGTTTAATACATACAAAAGAGTATGTAGAAATATACCTTAGCAATAAAAGGATTTTGAGTTGGAAGCCGTGCTTGATGTATACAGACTTAGTGATGTGTCTGCAGATTGCCTGTGATAACAGATTGTCCAATAGAGAAGAAAAGTGCTATTTTGGTAAATTCTGTTTTGTATCTACTTATGTATCTTGTTTGCACCAAAATCATTTGGAAAGAAGGAGAGTGGGGAAGTAAGCCTTTCCCTGACAATTGCTCCTAACGTTTTACGCTTCACCTCTGCTATACATTTCCTCCCTTTAGCCTGGTGGCTCTTTATTCATCACTACAATCAACAAAACACAGCTGTCCTACGCCCTGGGCATTGTTTTCTCAGAACAAATCATGGGCCTTGTTCCAAAAGGCACACACACATGGGAGAAGTTTGTTTCACCTGAAAAGCTGGAGAGTATTTTAGAACCAAGTAAGTGTTAAGACTGTTGTCCAGTCTTGTCTGAACCTTTAATGCATGTATAATTACTAATCTCATGATCTAGCGCTTATTTAAGCAGGTTACAATTTTTCCCGATGTTAGTTGTATTTCTTCTGCTATGTCTCAAACTCTTTGAAATGGTGGTATGGAGGAGATACCGCTTCTGCCTGGCTCGTAGTCCTGGCTGCTTGAATCTTCATTTGTTTAAGAATGGGCATCAGTGTGTCTTACTTACACATGCTCAATTGCTCCTGGTGAGCCCGGCATATCTCGATTTATCATATGATTTCTCTGGACTCTTCTATACTCAAATGTATTCCCAACTTCCATGTCATTTCTTATATATCTCTGGTACCTGCAGAAGTGACCACGGTAGATGTCAGAGTTGCAGTCGGCTTTGGAGCATGTGTTCATTCATACCTGCAGTAAAGTGTCATCTAAATATGGCCACACATTATTTCTACATTTCTCCACTCTTTTCTGGCCCATCTTCTTGTACTCCACACAGTGCCTCACCATGCTATGGCACAGTCAGAGATTTGTTGAACGCTGTTAAGTAATGCTTCTTAGCTCACCCACTTGGCAGAAGTGTATCCACCAACCTTTTCATTTAAAATACTGTCTGTTCAGGGCAGTGTGATGGTTTCTAGAGATGTCTGTAATTTTGTTGAAAATAGATTAGAAAAAAGATATTTTAAAGAATATTTTTGGAGCTGGGAATAGTAGTACGTTCTTGTAATTACAGCATTTGAAAGGCTCTAACAGGAAGACTGGGTATTCAAGGCCAGCCTAGGCTATACAGAAAGCCTCTATTAGATAAAGCCAGTCTTAAACAAGGTGAGGCTCTGTTTCAACAAATAAAAGAGAAAACAAACCAAAGAAGATACCTTATAGAGACAATCTCTTATTGACAGGTATTCTCAAGTGGCAGTTAGCATTTGTTGAGAACTTAGAGAAGTCTAAGCACTGAGCTATTTTAGACGTATCCCCTAATTCCAATGCTGCAGGACACGTGATCTATATGCGGCATTCGGAATGGGTCACCATTGCAGCAGGCGTCAGAGCTGGCACTTGACCCCAGTCCTCTGCTTTGGAGGATATATTCTCACCTGCAGTCAAGTATGATCAAAGCAGTTTTGTTCATGAAATTAAGAATTACTGTAGACTCTTGTGATTTGAATGGTACATGTTTATTGAGTTCAAGTTTTTTGATTCTTTTTTCAGATGGTCTGTTGGTTCACACTGTGGCAGGGATGATCTATAATCCCTTCTCAGGCTACTGGCACTGGAGTGACAATACCAGCCTTAACTATGCAGCACATGCTGTGAAATCCAGTGCACAGGAACGCCCGGAGCCTGCTGCGGCTGCTTTACAGGGGGATGCAGAAACACTCCATGCTAATGCCTCAAGTAGCCGTGTGAACATGAAGAGTTGAAGAAATGAGATAGCTCTGATAGTAATATGCTTAAAAGTTTATTGTTTGCAGATTCAGAAAGTTTATTTTTTCAACGAGATCCTAAAGAACAAAAGGTCAATAAAAATATCTAAATCATTGGAGAAAAGTTTCTGTGTCACCTAAGAGATACTTGGAGAAATTTTCTCAGGTTTTGTCAAGTGTGCTAAAGGAGCTTATATTATAGAAACATGTGTGCTCACTTCATTTCATTCTACATACTAGGCCTTTCTCACATGTGTATACAAAACATATGCTGTTATTTATTTTTACCTAAGGAATCTCTGTTGTATGTGGTATTTCTGTATTTTTAGTTAAAAGATACAACTGACTAAATAAAAGCTACTGTAATTTATATCACTTATACTTGTGAATATAAAATATATTTTGAGCCTGTGGTGGTGGTGCACATCGTTAATTCCAGCATTTAGGAGTCAGAGACAGGTGAATCTCTGTGAGTTGGAGGCCAGCCTAGTTTACACAGTGAGTTATAAGCCAACTAGGTCTATATGAGATCTTGTCTCAATCAATCAATTTATTTCTTTGTTATTTGTTCTTTTAAAATTCTGAACAATATATTTTGTATTTCGGTTATATTCAACCTCCTACCCCAATTCTTTCTCTACCCATCCACCTGTATGCACGTGTGTGTGTGCACTTGCATGTGTGTGCATGCATGCGTGTGCGTATGTGTGTGTATGGCTGTCAAGTTCAATTTGTGCTGCTCTTAGACTTTTGACTGTGTGGATGCATTGAAGTGTGATTGACTTAGCAGGATCCCCACCCTTAAAAACAAAACACAAAACCTGACACTATGTCTTCCAGTAGCTATTAATTGCCAATAACTTCTAAGCTAGTGGTGGAACTTTGTACCTGCCTCTCCTGTTCATGCTGGGATTTTGTCTATCATAAACTCCTGCAGGTCTTGTCCATGCTGTCTCCACCACTCTTAGTTCACATCATGTGTGCCACTGGCCACTGAATTAGAAAACATTTTGTGGTGCTCATCTGCCACCTCCGGTTCATCTGGTCTTTCTGCTCCATCTTCCCCAGGGATCCTTGAGCCTCAGAAGAAGGCGATGTGACACAGATGTCTCGTTTAAGGCTAAGCGTTCTGTAATTTGTTGTGGGATATTAGTTGAAGATGTATTACATCCATTTATGCTGTAGAATATTTGTTTAATGAAGCAAAGATGTGTTGCATTCTTTTATGTTGTATGTGTTTAGCTTTGTGAAGCTGTGTTACTGCGCCTGTCTAAAACACCTGATTGGTCTAATAAAGAGCTGAACTGCCAGTAGCTAGGCAGGAGAGGGGTAGGTGGGGCTGCCAGGTAGAGAGAATAAATAAAAGGAAAGAATGAGAAGACAGGAGGAGGAGGAGCTAGAAAAAGAGAAGGAGCGGAGGATGCCAGGGGTTAGCCATTCAGTCCCAAAGAAACACACAGAGGCTTATATTAATTATAAGCTGGCCTGTTAGCTCAGGCTTATTATTAATTAGCTCTTACAACTCAAAGTAACCCATAACTCTTATCTGTGTTTAGCCATGTGGCTTAGTACCTTTTCTCAGTGAGGCATTCTCATCTTGCTACCTGTGTGTCTGGCTGGTGATTGACTCTCTGCCTTTCTTCTTCCCAGAATTCTCCTAGTCTGTTTGCTCCACGTATAATTCCTACCTGGCTACTGGCCAATCAGCATTTAGTAAACTAATACAGGCGACAAATCTTTACAGGGCACAAGAGCATTCTCTCACAGCATTATATAATGTGTTTTGATCATAATCAGCCCCTTCTCTCAACTTCCGCCATTTCTACCCCAGCTTCCCTTCCTACCCAGTTTTGTGCTCTGTCTCTCTCTTTATCCATTGAGTTCACTTTATGTTGAACAACTGCTCTTGGGTATGGGGCCTGCCCTGGAGTGTGGTTTATACACCAGAGGTCATAACATGAAAGAAAATTGACTCTTCCGTTACCAGCAGCTATTAAATACCAATAGCATCTCCACTAGAGGCAGACTACTTTCTCCTCTATCTAAATAAAGTACGTTTTTTTTTCCTGTAAAATCTTCTTTGATGGAATTAAATGGGTTGCTAAACATGTGCTGAACTTGAATTCAAACATAAAAAGAATTTCAGGTAATGTTCTGTGTATAGGACCTAGTTCTGTATAACAGGTGCTAGTTTAAATGAGAATGGTCACCATAGGTTTGTATGTTTGCATACTTGGTTCCCAATTGGTGGAACTGTAGGAGGTGTGACCTTGCTGGAAGATGAGTGTTATTGGTGGCAAGCTTTGAGGTTTTGAAAGACTCATTTCATTCCCAGTATGCTCTCTGCTTCCTGCTTGCAGATTTGGGGGTATGAGATCTCAGTGGCAGCTCCTGTGCCATACCTGTCTGTGCCATGCTCCTTGTCACAACGGTGATGGACTTCTACACCTCTGGAACTGTACGCTTCAATAAACCCTTCCTTCCATAAATTGCTTGGTCAAGGGGCTTTATCATAGCAGTAGAAAAGTAATTAATACAATAGTTTTAATTTTAAGGTTTTTTTATCCTTTTAGTGATAGAAAGGAATTTTATAACTTACTTTAAAATTTTAGTTTTGAGAATTTTCTCTTCAGCTATCATTTATGTAATTAAAAGGGCTAAAGTGATTTTTTTTCTACTTGAATTATGTGAATCTGTCTTTTTCTCAAAGTCCAGATGCTACACAAGGATAATCACAGAGGATGTTGGCTGAGTGACATAGGTGGAAAGTATGTGATGCATGTTTTGGAGTCTTTCACTTTTAGGTTCATGTGCTTACTGTAGACAAACAATAACACTTTGAACAAACATTTCCCTTAGCTATCTTTTCTCAGTTCATTTACAAGGAAGAAACAGATTCAGATAACTAGAAGAGAGCCAAGTGTAATGGCACATGCCTGTTATCCCAGGATTGCCGGAAACTCATGGCCAGAATGAACTACAGGGAGGTTCAGCCAGACTACATAGTGATACCCACTTTAAAACAATGACAATAGCAAAAACAGAGGAAAAAAGCAAAAAGAGAGATATACTTTGTTTCTGTGTAGTTAGGGCCCAGAAAGTTCCGTGACTCCACTTAAAACTCTGACCATGGGCCAGTGAGATGACTTAGTGAGGAAAGGCACTTGCTGCTGTACCTGACAACCTGCATTTGGTCCTTGGGACTCACATAGTGAAAGGAGAAAACTGGCTCCTACAAGTCCTCTGACTCTTATATGTGCACTTTGACTGGTACACACACACACACACACACACACACACACACACACACACACACACAAACTGTATTTCTATATCAAGGATAGTGGTACACACTTGTATTATCAGAACCTGGGAGGAGGGGTTGGGAGATTAGGAGTTCAGGGTTGTCTTATTCGGTGTTCTACTGCTGTGGAAAGAAACAATGACCACAGTAACTCTCATAAACATTGGGATATTATTTTTTTTAAATATTTATTTATTTATTATGTATACAATATTCTGTGTGTATGTCTTCAGACCAGAAGAGGGCACCAGACCTCATTACAGATGGTTGTGAGTTCAATTGCCGGGAATTGAACTCAGGAACTTTGGAAGAGCAGGCAATGCTCTTAACCACTGAGCCATCTCTCCAGCCCCTGGGATATTATTACATTTAGAGGTTTAGTCCATTATCGTCATAATGGGGAGCATAGTGACATGCAGGAAGACATGGTAGCTGAGAGTTCTACATACTGATCTCTTTTTCTTTCTTTCTTCCTTTCTTTCTTTCTTTCTTTCTTTCTTTCTTTCTTTCTTTCTTCCTTCCTTCCTTCCTTCCTTCCTTCCTTCCTTCCTTCCTTCCTTCCTTCCTTCCTTCTTTTTTTTTCAAGACAGGGTTTCTCTGGTTAACAGTCCTGGCTGACCTGGAACTCACTTTATAGACCAGACTGACCTTGAACTCACAGAGATCCCCCTACCTCTGCTTCCCAAGTGCTGAGATTAAAGGTGTGCACTACCACTGCCCCACCTCCCGATCTTAAGGCAGCAGGAAGAGAGATACTGGGCCTGGCTTGAGCATTTGAAACTCCAAAGCCCCGTTCCAGTGACACACTTCCTCCTACAAAGTCATACCTACTCCGGCAAGTCAAATCCCCAATCTCTGTCAAGTAGCGCCGCTCCCTATTGACAAAGCATTCAAACATGAGGCAATGGGAGTCATTGCTATTCAAAGCACCACAAGGGTTATCTTTAGTTACATAATAATTTGTCACGACCACCTCGACCAGCAAGGAAGACACAACACTTGACTCTTTTTTCTGCAGTTTATTCAGAAACCTTGAACAATCTTCTGACCCCAGGTAAAGCCCACCCACAGCTTAAATAGCCTCTGGGTAGCCAACCCCAGCATGCTATGTGGTAAATGCAGATAGGTCCAGAAACGCAGAAGTAAGCCAGATCCTTAGCCTTAGCCATATATGGAGTTGTTTACGACTGAGAGCACTCACCATCGGGGGAGGTGGAAGGCAGAAAACAGCGCCATCTTTAAGGCATGGCACTACGCAGCTCTCTACAATAATTCAAGACCAGTATTAATTATATGTGACCCTGTTTCAAAAACAAAATACCCTACATAATCAATCAATCAGTCAATCTGATTCTTAAATTGAATTCTAGGAGTGTTCTAATAAAAGCTACCTTATTCTACTTTTTGGAATAAAAATGTTGGTTTTAAAGAATTTGTACTTTGGGAATTGAATGGAAGGCTCTCCCCAAATAGTGTTTTAGAAAACAATTACTATGTTTCTGCTACTAAATACACATATTGTTCAGTGCTGAGAGTTGAAGATCATTCAGAAATAACAGTTTTTGTATTTGGATTGGCTTCCTCTGGGATGAAGAGATGAAAGTGCTGTGCTTCTGCATGGGGTCTAAGTTGAACTTAGAGGCCAAATTCAACTAAATTCTACAGAATTTGGGCTCAAAAAACCATTGCAGTTTTCTTTCTTTCCTTTTTTTTTTTTTTAAAGGCAGAGTTTTCAGTGTAGACCTGGCTGTCCTGAACTCACTCTGTAAACCAGGCTAGCCTTGAATTCAGAGATCCACCTGCCTTTGTCTCCTTAGTACTGGGACAGTTTTATATTTTAGCTGGACTAGCTCTCATTCAGAAGCACCTATTCCTGAAGACTAGTGACATACAGGGTTTAGGGCTATAGGAGGTGTCTTTAACATATTAAGTTTTTACAGGAGTCCCCTTAAGAGAAAACTTTAGAGCTGATAGGCTCACAAGAGATGGTGCTTCTATATCAGGAAGGCAGAGAAAAGTAAAGCACAGAGAGAAGAAAGGTGAATAAATTTGCTTGGTGTCTTGGT